GTTTTCCCAAGCAGGAATTCCCATTCCCGATCCAATTCCCGATCCCATTCCCGCTCAAGGATCTGACCCCATTCCCACCATCCCCCGTGTTTTCCCAAGCAGGAATTCCCATTCCCGATCCAATTCCCGATCCCATTCCCAATCCCATTCCTGATCCCATTCCCATCATCCCCGCTCCCATTCCCTCCCTGCCCCACTGGGATTCATTCCCAGCTCTGTGGGGCCACTGGAATTGTCCCAGCTCCTTGGCGAGCTCCCGGAATCCCAGAATTCGGGAATCCCGGAATTTGGGGAATCCCGGAATTTGGGGAATCCCAGAATTTGGGAAGCCTGGAATTTGGAAATCCTGGAATTCGGGAATCCTGGAATTTGGGAATCCTGGAATTTGGGAATCCTGGAATTTGGGAATTCTGGAATTTGGGAATCCCAGAATTTAGGAATCCTGGAATTTTGAAATCCTGGAATTTGGGAATCCCAGAATTCGGGAGCAGCCCGCAGGGAGCGGCGCTTTCTCAGCTCTCCCGAAGGAAATCCGGGAAGTTTCCTTTCCATGAGGATAAAAAATCCCAAAAATACCCCCAAAATTCCCAATGGAAATTTCCGGATCCCGAGCAAAGGACAAATCCTGGCGCCGCTCCCGGGGACAGCGGGGACCAGGAAGGGACACAAATTCCAGGTGTGGACTTGTCCCCAGGGCCTGGGGACAAGAGTGGGGACAAAGGTGACAGCTCTGGCAGTGACACTGCCATGGCGACACTGCCAGGTGACACTGCCGGGTGGCACTGCCAGGGTGGCATTGCCAGGAGCCTGATGGCACTGCCAGGTGACACTGCCAGGGTGACACTGCCAGGGGACAGGGTGACATGGCCAGGGTGGCATTGCCAGGGACCAGGGTGGCACTGCCAGGGTGACACTGCCAGGAGCCAGGTGACACTGCCAGGTGGCACTGCCGGGTGACACTGCCAGGGTGACACTGCCGGGTGGCATTGCCATGGTGACACTGCTGGGTGACATGACCAGGGTGACACGGCCGGGGTGGCACTGCCAGGTGACACT